AAAGTGGGTATCAAGCTCTGCCATGGGTGAGATACATAACAATGGCTGGTGAATACGAGCTGAGACTCATTTAATTCGATGGCTGCTTTTGCCTATAATTCGCATTACTCGTGAGGCTTTTTTCCCCCCTAAATCTTTCGTGTTGCTGTTTGTATAATGGAAACTTGTGATTGCTTTGATCGCATTTTTAACTGAAAGCGCTGCTCGTTTTGGATATAATCACAATTTTTTGCATGTTTTGTAGAGACCAAAGGTGTTATATTTGATTCGTTTGGTACAAGGTATCATCAGGTGATAATTTGTATTCGCAGAGAAATATGTCTGTTGAGATATTGGCTCTTTTATTCAATTTTTTAACTATCCACATGCTTGGCCCTGTTTACTTCGTATTTTCACAAAGCGATGGAGAAAACCATTTGTGTTGAATTACATATATATTTTGAAATATTTTTCTCCTGATGAGCCATTTATCAATTTGTTAACTGGATAATACATAAAATAAAATTTATTGAAATAAAGACCAATAAATTTTTCTGCAGAGTGTACAATGCCATTGCCCAACAATCTTGATAGTAGGGTGCAGTTGGTTAAAAAAAAAAAAAAAACTAATAAATGATCTCATCCAAGAATAGGGATTTGAAAGTGAAAAAAAAAATTATATATTTTTATAGTAAATAAGATGGTTTAGGTATGGTGAGTGGATACAACTATACAAGTCAAATACAATGACATTATTTAATAATTATTTAATTTTAATTGATACAATAAATTAGAGTTGATACAATTTTAAAATAGTTTAATGTTAGTTGATATGGGTAGATAGTTTGAAATATGTAAAGATTGAAGTTGATTGATATAAATTTAATTTAACTTTAATTGATAATGATTAATAGTTAAAAGTATATAGACTTTTGGACATTGTTTTTTATTGAAATTGAAATAATAATAATAATAATAATAATAATAATAATAATAATAATAATAATAATAATAGCTAATTTGCAAATTTTCGACATCCTTTTTTTAGGTTGATTTTTCATAACAGTATGGAGAGCAAACCTACACAGTTAACAATACACAATAAATACAGATGATGAAAGACAAAGCTATCATATCACATTCAAATGTTTGCACTAGCAAGTCAGAGGCCTAACCTCTCTTACAAAAAAAAATGACACAAAAATAAAAAGAGAAAAATGAAAAAAGAATGTGACTGAAAGAATAAGGAGATTAGCAAAAGCCTCCAAGTATTGCAACTCTTTCAGGTGAGAGCAAGATTTTTTTTTCTTTACAATTTCACTTTTTACACATACTATTGGTGCACTTGATTTGGCAATGTAGGCTTCTTTCTGAAAGCATGTTTTCTGCATCTCTCGAATATGCTATCGTATATTAGATCGAATTGGACGCCTGCTCTTTCTCGGTTCACTATGAAAAGAATGTGATCACCCTCGACAATCTTATAATACCTGCATAACGAGTAATACATTAGATAATAATTGTGTTCTTTTTTTTAGGGTAAATATTAGTTAGTATTTGCAAATTGCAAGCCATTCTCAACATCAAGAGGGCAAATTCACTCAATTTCACTCCTTAAATCTGAAGAATGTTGTTTTCTTTTTCTCGATTGATTAGCGTTTGCAAACACTTATCAGCATAGTTGCATTCATATAACTTTTAAAACCTTATAACAACGATCTCATTTTTCAACTGACAGTATAACATAAAATTGGATTTCTCAGCACAAATCACAAAAAAAATATATGAAAAAGTGAAAGTTTACAAACCAGATGCCAGGCTGTAAAGGTTGACAATCTGAATCCTTTACGACAAAATGGCTCGGGTGCTCGACTGGAAAACGAGGGTGCGTCATAGATATTGTGTTCAGTGCTCCATCATTGTCCCACCAATCTTCATCGCTATTAAAAAAAAAAAGGAAAAAAAATAATTATTTTAGGCCGACAAAAGTTCAAACCCAAGATTCTCAAAGGCTGTGATCGAACCGAATTGTTCGCGAACAAAGCTTGTTTGTGTTCGATAAAAGCTCGTTCGTTTAGTAATCGAACAGAACTCAAACATGAAATTATTCTCGTTTAATTATCGAACGAATACGAACAAGTTCGCAAATAAAACGAGCATTCGCGAACAAAAAGGTATTTGATAGTTTTATATATATATTATATATATAATATATATATATTATACACATATATATAATATATAATATATAAATATGGATATATATTAAACATTAAATAATATAACTTGTATGGTATTTAAAAAAAAAAGTCAACAAACACAAACACGAACTTGTCGAACAATTCACGAACAAGTTCGACTATATAACCGAACGAACACGAACTTGTCAAACCAATAAACGAACAAAAGTTTTTGTTAGAATACTAAACGAATGAACACATTCCAAACTTAGTAGAACTCGAGCTCGAAAACATTAAGCTCGGTTCGGTTCGGTTCGATAACAGGCCTTCCTCACATATAATCGTAAGTTATTTAAGTTTCTGGTCAATAAACTTAAAAATTAATCATTTATTACTTTAAATTTCTTCAGCAAAAATTGACCTAGGAATGTATTTACCAAAAAAAAGAACTACACTCACCGGTAACCTTTATACGGAGGCACGATATCCACAGGATACCTCCATTGGCTCATCTGCAAAACTCGGATGAACAATAACGGGTGGATCCCGAGCAGGCCCGAAGGGATTGTAACTCCCATTACCTTTCTCGTTCGTTTAGTTGCGTAGCTAAAATAGTAAGTATTTGGAAATGTCTGAATACGATTGTTCAGCCGAATGGAACCTTGGATAGTAAGATCAGGAAGAATCCAATCGCCGGAGGCAAACGGGCCGGTTTTGCCCATGAGGCAATTCACGAGGCCCCATATGCCGATTTTCCTTCTTGACAAGTTGAAATGATCGAAACCGAAATTGTAGTAATTTTTCAGCCACTGGATATCGAACCAGTCATATAAGATTACCCCAATTCGGCACAATTGGAGTAGGCTAACGGGCTTTACTGACATTCCATCTTCAGGCCTGTCGAGGATTAAACTTAATGATAAAAACTTTCGGAAAATTGTTCATTCAGCTAACTTCAGTTCAGTATTTTTCAATTTTTTTTTCTCTTCGAGTGTGAATTGATGCAGATTACATAAATAAAAGCAATAGATTTAGGAAAAAGTAAAACCATACTCACTATTATGATATTTATGATCAAATAAAGTACATTATATATATCCAGGAGAAAAATAAACAGATGAAATATATAACTCGAAAACACAATTTCACGGTACAAAAATACAGAATTTAATGATAAAACAGTTGGAAATTATTTCTCATTCAACTTTTTAGGAAAAAGTAAAACCATACTCATTATTATGATATTTATGATCAAATAAAATACATTACATATCCAGGAGAAAAATAAACAGATAAAAACAAATAACTTGTAACGGTTCAAAAAAATACAGAATTACGAAAATTATCGACATTCTCAAGTTTTTTTTTTTTTCCAATAAAGAAGTGTCGAGCTCGAGCCCTAGTGAAACAAACACGAATTACAGAGCGAAATGAGATGGCGAAGCAGAACATGAGCACAAAAAGCTCCACATTTTAGATTAAAATTTATACTTAGCATCTAAACTAAAGCATTTGAACATTGACAAAAAAGGACTTACAGCATGCCATCTAAATAGGTTCTTGTGGTGCCATTGAATGCACCGGACAATGAGGTTATGCTCAAGACCCAATTTGGCGACGAGTTCTCATATCCCTTGAATGCCTATAAATTTTACTAAAGTAATTAAACATTTACAGACTTGAAATCACTTCTATCTGTTCAATTTTTTTTCTTTTTTTTCTGCTTAAAGATTTACCTTATCAGCAAGCATTTGCTGCAAGACCCGAACAACCTGTGCACCGGCCGAATGCCCCACGAAGTGAATCGGGTGGTCCTCGTCCCATTCAGGATAATGCCCTGCAAATTTTCACTCATCAATCAGAAAAATAAATAAATAAATAAATAAA